CTATGCGACTAACTGATACGAGACTGAACAAACTCAACTAAATTTCTATATGAGAAAGGAAATAAAAACATAAACAACTCATAGAGTTTCTAGACTCTACTGACAAAAGAATACTAAGACTAAAAATTTAAAACAACACCAACAAAAGGAAGAACAAACGCCACTAATTCCGAGACATGATATAGAGACTGCCCACCCTGTTAACAGTAGATCTATATCATGTGGTCTACCCTAGTGGAAAAGGGTATTGACTTACATACTAGTGGTCTTAGGTTCGAACCCCTAAATAGTGTGTATAAGAAACCCCCCTCCCTTTGTAGTTTAGATTATCGTTTATATTCAAAAAAATAAAAAAAATTGTGGCATGTGTTGTAATTTTGATTTGTTTATAGTCCCATTTAGTAATTTTAGGTCCTTCGAACATTCAATTGGTTTTTGTTTTGTCAAAAAAGTTTTTTTTAAATTTTTTTGGTGACATGTATTTCTTTATTATGAATCTAGGGTGTTTTGAGAGATTTTTCTGTGTAGCTCCCTCTAGAGTTTTTATTGATTTGTTTGAAAAAAAATAATTGAAAATACATTATTGTTTCCTTATTGTTTTATTTCAGACGTTAGCATCTCATGCTTCAGTGATGACGTAAAACAATGTGATGTCCGCAATATATAAAACGATGACTGCGAGAGGGTCGTCACTTCTGCATATTGCCGATTGGATCGGAACATATGCAGTGCAGCCGACAGTTTACTTTAATTTTGTTGGACATATACGATAATGATATACTGTTTTTAAAAGACCAGTGGTGCCGCATAACTGGATCACGAATTTATGATATTTAACTGAGGTACAAAATAATTATTAATCCCAAGTGGTTGGTTTAAATTGAGTTTGGAAAGACCTGAAATATGAGCTATGACATTTGTACGATGCCAATATATATTATTTTGTGGAGAAGATGTTTCTATAAAATAGAAGCACCTTAAGAGCATGTTTATGAATCAATAATGGGTATGTTTACGTCGTCAACCAAGTCTTCCTTCGGTGATAAGAGTTTACAGACAACTAGAATACCTACGTAGACTAGTTTATGAGAGTGATACTACATGTATTGACCAACTAAGGATGGATAGACAATCTTTTCAAAAGCTTTGTCAAATTTTTGTCACTAAAGGAGAACTACGATCAACCCGAAATGTGTCCACAGAGGAGAAGGTTACAATTTTTTTGAACATTCTTGCACACCATCATAAGAATTGCATCAAAAAATTTAATTTTACTAGATTGGGACGAATTGTTAGTAAATATTTTTATGAGTGCTTGAAAGCAATGATTCGATGTCAAAAGGATTTCTGGAAATCACCTAAACCCATACTTGAAAACTGAACAGACTATAGGTGGAAGTGGATTAAGGTATGCACTATTTATGGCTATGAAATTATTCAAAACAAAGATACTTATTTTCCTTTAAGAACCTTATTAATAACTTGTTATATTTTAATATAGAACTGTTTAGGAGCATTAGATGGAACCTATATATTAGAGTGAAGATATCAGAATGAGAGAAACCAAAGTAAAGAACAAGGAAGGGTGAAATAGCAACAAATCTTTTGGGAGTGTTGGGGTCTTTTTCCTTTGTAAGGCTCTTCCGGGCATGTTGATTCTTAGACTGTCATAGAGTGGTAAATCAAGCCTTTGTTACCCATTTTTTTTGAGTTAGCGAGAACTAGGCCCAAAGCATCTCGAGAGAGAAGCAAGTCCTAGGGGAGTACTTTGTTCTTCTTCCAGCGACTGCGTGTTTTGTGCTGAGGTTTCCGGTTAGAGGAAGAGTTGGAGATGGTGCATTGATGTTGCACAGGCTTGGCATGAGAGTTTGCTTTGGTGAATCAAGATACCACTAGGATTGGCATGAGAGGCTTGTAGCATGGGAGTTATGAAGAAAGGATTAAGGCTTGAGATTTTGGGTGTTTTCGGCAGCTAGACGAAGAGCTTGTGATGTCTGCGTTTTCTTACCAAAAAGGTAATGACTATGGTTTCAACTTAGCTTGAGAAGATGGGTGTTTCAAATTTGTGATGGAGCTTTTTGAGAGAGAGAGAGAGAGAGAGAGAGATGGAGATAAAGGATGGGTGGCTTGAGTAGATTTCCAGTAGCTTGACGAATGCTTGGTCGTGCTTTTGCATTGAGAGAATTTTTTGAGAGCATTGTCTTTTTCTCTGCGATTTCTCTCCGTTGTGCAAGGTCTACATATTTTTCCAAAATGATATTTTAATCATGTTTTTGAATTCTGCTTTGGTTTCTTAAAATCTGCATCTAGAACACATCTATATTCATCATCTATATCTAGGTCAAATTCTTGAATCAATTTCTTCAAGAATGGTTTCTCGAAGAAGTTGATTCCTTTTTTCATCGAATCTACATTTCATACATCTGTTACTATCCGGAGCTGAGTTGCGGTGCAGTTGATGGACTAGGTGCCATTTACATGAAGAACAAGCTTTTAGGTCAACTAAGTTTGGATAAGAATGTTGCACAAGGAGGTAGTGCTCGTTTCCTTAATAGATCTAGGATTGTTTGAGCTTGAGTTCACTTTTACCTTCTTGACTTAGTGGATTGCCTTGTCGAAGTGATGACCCCCAGTTTTTCCCAATAGTGGGTTTGTGAATTAACATGCATGTCTTGTGTGTTTATCTGAATTTTATGTCTAGCTTTATCATATTTATAATATCTGTGATGTTGATGAATGCTCACACACCATATATCTTAGTTGTTGCTAGCACATGAGATGCCTAGATTGACGGGTCCTTCTTTATTCTTAGTGTTGTCACACAGTTATTTTCTAAACTTGCATGGGTTTGTGATTTGTGTATTGCTTGTGTGTGCTGATCATTGTGTAATCTCTGGTGTGTGTCTGGTAATAGGCTAGTTATATAGTTGTTTGAAATACTTTGTGAGTCAGATCCTTGAGCAGCTTGTTTAGTGTTTGAATTTACCACTTCCACCTAATTACCAATTTCAAATCTTCAGATTCATGTTAATTAAAGACTTAAAAGGTCGACTTTTATCAACTATGCCTAGTGGGCCAATGGCGATATTTAATTGCAAAATGTGACTAACACCTCAGCAACATGTGAAACCAATGGAGAGATGTGTATTAACGTAATAATCACAGTTGAATGGCTAAGATTAGAAATAATATTCCCAACATATATGTTTAGATTAGACTACTTCCAAGCCATATATCATCATGGATGTCCTAACATTCAAAAAGCCAGTCTCACAAGTAGAGAACGCTGAGGGTGCTGATCAGAAGAGCCTGTTTGCCCGGACTGACACAGAAATCTTGGAAGTCATTTATGCCACTCATGTTGTTTGCCATGAGCACGATGCCTTTGATGTTGATTCTCTTTTCTCCATCACTGAAAGCATCCTGAAATGTTCGAAGCAGATCGTCGATCATATTGAGCAGATGGTATGTATGCAAATATTCTTATTCTTTTTCAAGTAAAGAATATCAAGTTACTGATGGTATCATATCATGGCTCTTTGCTCATTGCTGTTGCTTTCTTTGGTTGTTCTTTGTCATTTGATATTAATTCGCACAAAATATATACAATAAGTACATATTTCATTTGGTTAACATGTAGAACGTACAAATCTCACGGAACCCATTGAAGAATTTGATCAAATATACTTCAAATCCTCAAAATCAATTGTGGGGAAAAGGAATTCAAATCTTAACAAGTTCCATAGTTTTTTTTGTTTTTTGATTTAAATGTATTACAAATTATTCGGGTTAATCGGACTTGGGAATGTATAGGAAAAGTTACTCGAAGGGGGTTGTATTTTTGTACTTCTGAAGCTTCAATCTTACCTGTAATTGATTTGCTTGTGCCTTTGTTTGCAGACCCCCCGAGTAAATGGTGAAACCATGGATGGAATAACTATCCCACCCAACTTCAGCACGACGTTGTGCATTATAAAGTCCATTGTCCGTGAGGTCATTATCTTTCATTATTATAGCTTATAAGTTAGTTTTCTTTTCTATTATTTAATTTCTTTTTCTAAATCGTTTGGCAAGAACAATAAGAATTTCCAACTTGGGCACTACTACAAAATTAAATAGACAACAAGGATCCACCGTCGTCGTGATGCTTTGAAAATCATCGTTAAATCAACCGACATCTTTGTCAAACTACGACAGTTTTTCACTGTCGTTGTTTATCTGAAAAGACAACGGTTTAATTAACAATTGTCATTGTTTAACATGTAAAGACGACGCTTTTAACAACAACCGTCATGGTTTAGGAATACAGACGACGGTTTTTGTTAAAAACTGTTGTTGATTATATGTAATGGCGACGATTTTTACAAAACCTGTCGTTAATTATATGTAAGGACAACAGTTTGTTGTAAAAATCGTGGTTGACTGTATGTAAAGATGACATTTTTACAAAACGTCGTTGATTATCAGTAAAGAAGACACTTTAAGCAATAAAACCATCGTTGATATTCTATAAATCCGTCGTCTAATATGTTCCCTGGCTGTTTTAGAGTTTTTTTTTTTTATGCTTCTACACAACAATTTTAACTAGAAAACCAACCATAATACTTTATTAATGAATATATACACCCAAAATTTATTTCTTCCATAAAACTTCAAGATTCAACAGTTATTACATAGTTAAAAAATATTAGTCCTACAACATACATACTTCCTACCACATCGATAGCCTTAACCTAATTAGAAATAATGGAGCTACATGTAATTGCTCACAAACTCTACCAATTTGATCTGAACTTTATCACTTTGTTCTTGACAATATCAAGTCTATCTTGGGACATTTTGTAATATAGATCGAAGAGAAATAACACTGACTAAGAGATGAATGATGATATGTGCCGTGGATATATATATATATATATATATATTCATATATTCTTGATTCTTGACAATATTAAATCTATCCATGTAAAATACATTATATCTAATCATAGTAATGAGATATGAAATTTCAGGTGCCATGTAAGGCTCCAGGTGAAAAGAATGCCCACGACGCCACGCTGAAAATACTTAGCAAGGTGACAAAGCATTCATGGGAAGCGAAGGCTGTGCTGGCCCTGGCGGCTTTTTCTTTGGAATATGGAGAGTTCTGGCTCATTGCCCAGCATCAACGATCTGACCAACTTGCCAAGTCTGTGGCATGTCTTAAGGGAGTACCAGTCCTTCTCAAGCCCGAAAACTTCAAGCAAAGCTGCGAAGCAGTTGCTCAGCTAAATGATGTGATAATGTCCACGTTGGAGGTGATTGATTGCATCTTAGAATTGGAGAAGCTTTCCAGTATTTATAATGAGGTAAAGGAGTTGAGAGAAATCTTGACAAATGCAAGGAAAGATATGTCAGTGAATGTCTATTGGTGTATCATTACAACTGTGGCTTGCGGCACTAACTTCACCCTTCTTACTAGTGATGAGTAAGTTTTCGTCCATCTTCTCCATGCCAATACTTCATATACGCTTAATTCATCTTATTCCAATGTCATCAAATTAGTCATACCTAGACTATATTCAAGCGACAGTGATTCACTTAATTAATGATCAACAGTCAGATTGATAACTGAACAACAAAAGGCGTATCTTCTAATTAAGTCAAACAAAAGAAAATTATATGACTGGTTTAATTCCTACATTTCAGGGGGAAGTCACACGATCTTGTCCCGTATGCTCAAAAGATCACAATCATCCTTAAAACCCTTAAAGGACAGCTTAAGAGCTGCATTAAAGAAATAGGTGGGTTACTTGTTGAACATTTACAAGGAAATGTATGTTAAAATATTTGTGAAGTTTTGTATGTTGTATTCTTCTATATAAGAAGGTATTCATATATATAATGTAGACTTAAAAAATAGATGGTTTGGATCGTTGAATTATTTTTTTTTTGTAAGGAACCCTAAAGGGTGTCCCTCAAATAAAATTATTTGAGGCATCCCTTAATAGAAAGGGACTATATATGAGTAGATAGGCTTTTATAAACGTGTATAAAACAACTAAAGTAAGAAAGTCCTAGTTATAAAAAGATTGGTCTACTAAATTGATTAGGAAGTAAATCTCCTAAATTTGCTTGTTCTTGCAATAGTGACGATTTCTTTTCTTTCTTTTTTTCTTCCTTATTTAACACAGAGAAGCTACAGATCTACATGAAGTTAAAGCAGCTCTTTCAAGTTCCTACTGAAATCATGGAGGCTATTAAGACCCTGATATTTTTCAAGGATGACATGAAGACGACCATTTTTTATGGTTTTACTAAGAAACTGGTTTGCTCTCTCACGTTGCTTCTTAATTTGTATTTGGATCTTTGTCATGTGCTTGTTTTTGTTTGAACTTCAACAAGGACAGAAGAAGAACGAATTAGCAAGCACCACATTTCCTTATCGCATGCATAAATTATTTTTATCAGGTTCAGATCGACATCCTAAGGACGAAGAATGTGTTATTGTTCATTTCGAGCTTAAACATATCTGACGGTTACATTTCGCTTCTCGAACCCATCCATGAGCTTACAAAGAAAAAGGATGAGTATAAGATTGTTTGGATTCCAATTGCGGAGGAGTGGCATGAAGAGCAGCAAATCAAGTTTCAGACCCTGCGGGATAAGATGCCATGGTATACAATAAACCAGACTAACAAGCACATATCAGGCATAAAGTACATTAAGGAGGATTGGAACTTCAAGGGTAAGCCTATGCTGGTGGTGTTGAACAAAAAAAGTCAGCTCCAACATTCTAACGCTCTCCACATGATTTCAATGTGGGGATGCAAAGCCTTGCCTTTCACACAGAAGAAACAAGAAGAGCTCTTACTTTCTCTCCATGATACTTGGTTTGCTGCGGTAGTAGGCGAAATTCACACATCTGTATCCAAATGGGTAAGTAACTTCTTTTTGAACATGTACAAATGGGTGTTTTAGTTTATGTACCTCATGAAGCCGCTTACTTAATTGACACAAATTTCTGATTACATCTTGGACCAACAGATGAAAGAGGAGAAGTATATTTTCTTCTATGGAGGGGATTCAGTATGGACGAATGAGTTCAAGGAGAAAGCAAGCGCGGTTATAAATGGTGACATCATAGAGAAATCAAATATTTCTATTGAGTTATACCATGTGAAGAAGGGTGCAAATACTAGTGGAATGATTGACAAATTTAGCACCTTCTGGGCAGCCATAGAAACCATGTTCCGCATCAAGGTTAGTAATAAGCAGTTGGACCACGTTGCACAAGACGTTCAGAAGCTACTTTCCTTCAAAAATGATAAGAGTGGATGGGCTGTTCTCCTCCACGGCCGTAAAGTGGTGACCATTGGTGCTGGCTCGACAATCTACAAGGCCCTGGAGCACTTTGACACATGGAATCAGCACGAAACAACAATAACAGTAGAGACGTTGGGAAATTGTTTCAATGCTGAGCATGAGAAGGAGAAGAAGAAGGAGTTGGAACAAACTGGTCACGTTTGCACCTGCTTTGACATCTCAAGCGCCGCCGGAAGCACTTTAGAGGACATGATATGCTACGAGTGTGGCAGTCTCATGGAGACTTTCATCAGCTATAAGTGCCACCATGTCAAGAAAAATGGTACGTATACAATGATAACTACAAGTAATGTTTGTGTAAAGTGCGATCAAGTATATATATGTTGCACTTGCCATTATTCCCAATGCATTGCTCAAGAATTCCTTCTATTTATTTTTTTGTCCTTTCGGCAGATGAGAGTCGCCAGATACTGCCTGCATGGACTAAAGCGTGGAATCTGACGATTTCTGAAGCTTCCGCAAAGCTGCAGCAACTGATGTATGGTGATGGTCCTGTGCCATTGCACATGATCCTTGACGCTCTATCCCAATTTGGGAGTGATTATGGGAGGGCCAAAATCAATTCTAGTTGGGTATAATCACTTTTGTTTAAAAAAAATTGGGTGTTTGGCAAAAATTTAAAACCACTTAAAATAGGTATTAAAATCACTTACCTTCTGTTTGGATGGAGGAAAATAACTGGGGTTTAGTTTAAAGTCAAGCATTGAAGAGGAGAATTTGATATTTCAATTGTTTGGCAACTTAAAGCACGGAACTTATTAAATGACGCACATAAAAAATTGTGGAAATTGGGGATCAAGATTTCCAAGTTTAAATTCCTCCAAAAGAGACGTCATTTGAGCATGAATTCGTTTTTCCCTGTAATTTCTATTAATTACAAAATTTGACATGCATAAATCCAAACATTGAAATTATTAACTATCAGAAATTTAAATGATAGAGATCTAAATTCCATTATTTTAGAATTTTATGCAATTTTAGGGAGAACCGGGAATCACTCGAGGCCTTTTAATGAAACTTTAACGATACCAATATTATGCCTATTATTTTTACAATATTGCTAAAAAGCCTATCCCTACAATCTATGTTGTACAGTATAAAAGCACTTCTATGTTGGTAGCCAAGCAGTAAATTGATTCTATGTAAAAGACTTACTAACATAAAGTGATTATGCTAAAATCACTAATGAGTAAAATCACTTCTACAGAAACACTCCCAAACTAAATTTGATTTGACCAAAATTTTCCTGAACTTCGAACAAGTTAGCCATTGGAAGATTTACACTCTAAGTAATCCTAACCGCCAAGAAGAAGGATACATACTCCAATTAGGTTAAATGGCAGTATATAAAGAAGATTGAAAGTTAAAGAAATTCTCTCTACACAATTCGTCTCAAAAGACATAAAACTGCTCACCATTGATCCCTAAACAGATTCCAAACATATTTTAAACCCAGCTTTCAGAAATTTCTATAGACCAATTGTAACATCCCGACCCAAAATATTGATAAGTTTCGATTTAATTAAATTTAAAATGTGAATTTCCAATTTTACCCTCGGAGTAGGGGTAATTTGGTCATTTTTAATCCGGGAGGATTTCGGGGCTGTAGCTGGTACCTTTACATAGGTTGTACTGAGACGAATCCGTAGACATGCGGTAGGCTTGAATCGGAGTTGTAACGAGAGAGATACGATCTAAAAACTCTCACTGGCACAATCGTAATTATTTCGAAGTTTATTTTTAATAAAAACAGAAAACCCTCTCTCTCTCTCTCTCCCTGCGCGCGCAGAAACCAGCCCCCCCTGTTACTGTTTACCGCCGGGGTTTTTGGGCCACCACCGTCGCATTCGGCCACCACTTGGGGTGGCACCGGTCCCAAAAGAATCGGGCCACCTCCCTCTTTCCATCTTGACCGATCTCAGCCGCTGGAACCACCTGTGATCGCCGGAAAATGCAAAAATCCGACTGATTTTAACCCAAAATTCACGGAGCTCGTTCGGACGCTTACGGCCACCATTTCCGTCGATCCAGGTATGCTTTCTCAACCTCTCGAGACGTACTAGCTGCTGGTTGTGTTAGGTTTGAGAAATTTCTGAGTTTTGGAAGTCATTTAAGCGATAGAAAAATCTGCCGGTTTCGACCTCCATTTTCAACCACTTCCGTCGATTTTTTGGGGTATGTCCAAGAACAAAAGTGGCTCCAAATTAGGTGTATTACTTAGGGTAGGAGTCTTGGCCCGTGATTGAGTTTTTCCGGCGAGTGGTTATCGCTTTGGACACCCATGCGCTGCCAGCGCGTGTGGCGGCGCATAGGCACTGTAGCAGAGGGGCATTTTGTCCCAATACGATCCCCTGGTTGTCACGAGCGTGTAGGATTTTACGGATCTCAATTCGGATAACGTTTGAACCCCGAACGGATTTTACATATTGTGTGATTTCCGGGTTCGATATGTTAGAACTGTTGGATCGCTTCCAATTTAATATATGTTGATCTAGGCATTTCTAGGATTGTGTAGGATTTGACGGATCGTGAATCGGAGCCCCGGATGTTCCGATTCAATAACTTAAAGTTTGTGTTTTTCAATAACCGTCCGATCGTACGATCTTGAGCCATCCGACCGTCCGTTTCAGACCAAACTTGAAGGACACGTATCCTAGACCGTGTGGAACACTTAGGAATTTCCGGATCGTAAAACGGAGGTCGTGGGCCCAGCGGGCTCGATTGACCAAATTTGGAAGGTTTGACCCTCGGTTGACCGTAAGTCTTCCGAGGTAGTTTACTCTTCGAAAAGTACTAGGACGACCCCTTTTTGGACGGGTCTAGACCGTCATTTGATTGATGTTGAGTTTGTGGGTCTATGAGATTATTTTTACGGTTTTGCGATGGAAAGTTTATGCATATTGTTTTAATGGTTTGTTGTGAGATTTATATTTATATTCATAATTAGATTGTTAATTTGTGACTAATCCTATTATTGTTAATATCTCGAGTTTCTTGAGTCATATATATAATATTTGAGGAAATGCTATCTATGTTGATTATGTGTGGGGTATTTGGGTTGTTGTTGTGAGATGCTAGAAAGACAGGAGTTAGAATGTCGATTTGAGTGCTATTAGCACTACCTTAGGTACCCCCTGGATATAGAATATGCTTGAGAATTTACTAGCTATACTATGAATAGGTATTTTTGGGAAAAATTGGATTAAGGAAGGGAATATTACTTTATAATATTTATATAAGGATTACGAACTCCACCATCATACGTACCATCCCCCTTGGATGATGATACTTGGAATAGTGGATATGGACACTGGGATACATGAAAATTGTGGATATGGTCTGGATATGACGGAACCTGGGGCATCCTTGACGGGATGTTGTAGACCCTTGATTGGGTAGTCTGCGCGTGTAGGACGGTTCCAGGCGTACGGGTCTTGATTCTTCGTCCGTACGTGCTGGGTTAGAGTGTCAGTCCCCCAGTTGGACGACTCATCCCTAGCCACATGGACGTTTGAGGCCGGATAAGTGTGAGCTAGTCAACAATCCCCTGTTGGATTGTTTCCCCCAGTATATGATGTGCATCATCATATGTACCTCCCCTTGGATATTGATATATGGAAATTGTGGATATGGTCTGGTTATGACGGAACCCGGGGCATCCTTGACGGGATGTTGCTGTAGACCCTTGATTGGGTAGTCTGCGCGCGTAGGACGGTTCCAGGCGTACGGGTCTTGATTCTTCATCCGCACGTGCTGAGTTAGAGTGTCAATCCCCCAGTTGGACGACTCATCCCTAGCCACATGGACGTTTGAGGCCGGATAAGTGTGAGCTAGTCAACAATCCCCTGTTGGATTGTTTCCCCTGGTACATGATGATGGTGAGAGGTGGGTGTTATTATATTACACATATGTATATGTGGTTTTGATTCTGGTTTGAGATTTGTGAGTTTGTACATGTAGGAATGCTTGAGCCCTGGTTTGGGAAGTGTTGTACGGCAACATACGCCTTGGATAGGGTATGGTTGCGGGATTGAACTGATATAAAGGAAAAGTTTGAGATTGTGTATTATTGTGTTTTTGTCGGAGATTTATTTTGCCCAGGCCCGTCGGAGTTTGTTCAGGCCCTTCGGATGTCTTCTTAATACGATGCCTTGAGAAGGAATTGATAATGTTTCAATGGGTTTTTGTCGGATTTGGAAATTATGATAGATCTGAAATGTATAGTTTGTTGCTGTTTTAAATAATTGTATATTATTCTAATTGTGACGGTTGAAATGAGAACTACGTGTGGCTTGATTCCTCGGCGAGGGTACGTAGGCAGCCTAGGGTAAGGCCTAGGTGCAGCCACGGGTTAAACATTACTTGTGTGTAATTTGAGTGTGGTGTGGACCTTGTAGTTGGTCCTGAGATTCAGGTGAGAATGAGACGTGTTCATGTTAGGAGGCTAAAGCCTCATATGTTGAAATTGGGATAGTTAGATGTTGTAAACTTTGCTTTCGGTTGTCATACTTATGTTTAAGTTATTAATTGCCTCATGTGAAGTACTATTTGGTCCAAGAGCTTGTTGGTAGTTTGGTTTCGGAATATTTGAAGGCCGGAGGCCAATTAGATGAATTGCCTGAGTTTATATTGTGCATGGTACCGGTTGGTATAGTTAAATGTGTTTTATGCAGGTTGGAATTTTTGGGGAATATTCAATTTACATGGGAGACTTTGCCGAAATTTTGGCAGAAAGTCTCGTGCTCTTTTCCCTTAATTTGGAAAAGAGGCTAAATTTTTAGTAAGTGGGGCCGGCATCGGTGTGATGTCGGAATTTCCACAGGATTCGTCTTGAGTTCTGAGGAATTCGGAGCGGGTCCTGTCACCAATTCCAACACATTTTTAACCATTGAAGATTGCCCTGCCACTTGTTGATTTGATTTCCAATTGACGTACCATTTGAGTTGTGAGTTGTGATTCTGCTTAATTTCTTGCTACAACCACTCGACCCATATGATCATTCCTAACCCTAGCTGCACTCTTAACTCCCTCTCTCCCAAATAAAAAAACTCAATAGAAGGGAATGAGGAAGAAGAGTCACTACCCCTCCTCCCCACTCCGCTCCTCTCCTCTTTTGTTTTCTTTTAGGGAAGTGAATAAGTCCCTTGGGCGTTTTGAATAAGCCTTTTATGGTGATTTCTTTTGGGCCATGCTCACATTGAAGCTCCCCATCATCTCTTTCGGTCTATGTCCTCAATCAAATCCTTCTTCCGAAACCCTCTCTCTAACAGTTTTCATCTTACTTGAATTTAGTTCTACCTCATATTTAAAGGAGTTTGCTGCAATCTACCCCCCTTTTTTTTTTTTTGTGTGTGGTCATTATTGTTGGATTGGCATATTTGTTCAATGTCATGCGCAATTATGAGCTGCTACATCATAAGAATAGAGACACTTGCATATAATGTGAAACCGAATGAATAGTAAAATTGTGAGCCGAACTTAAAAGCCTAGTGAAAAGCAGTAAAATAATTAAGACACAAAATAGAAAATTAAATTAAATTGATTACTAGCTAATGTAATTTTAGGGATAAAAAGTGGT